CAATATGGTTCATGGGGTCACGAAGAGTCAGACACGACTTAATGACTAAACAACAACAACACCCATGGAAGTAGAATTGTGAAAGGGAATGCTTAAAAGCCAACAATATCCTGAAAGGAGTTTAGCAAGGAACACCATTACTTTATTTTTGTCTGCCCCTCAAAAGTATATACTTTTACACTGCTTTTGTAAAACACAGAGCCAATGCTGAGTACTAAAGATTAAACTTAAAGTTTATAACTCAAGCAGAATTCCTAGACACAAACCTTATATTTTCTATCAGTGACATCTAAGATTAAACACAAATGCCTTATATTCAGGACTTCTAATTAAAATCAATTCACATTTAAAAGATATATATTATCAGAAAATACTAACTATAAAACTGCAGTCCAACATCTCTCAGCCTTAGTCAGTTGGAAATACAACCATGCTTTCTGGGTAATTAAGATGCCATAATGTAGTATGAACTAAGAAATCCCATATATTGAAATTATTTCCTTATGTCACTGATAGTGATGGCTCAAACACATAGCTCTAGGGTTACCTAGTGGACTTCATGTCTTTTCTTTTTAGTGAGATGGTCTTCCGTTCAGGATCCTATTTCTTTTATGTAAGCGCAGTGTGTATGACTGTGGAAAGTTGTAGAGCAGCCAGGGAAAAGTTGCTATTTCAATGCTTAGCACTTGAATAAAAAGCTAATATATCAATAAAGTAAAAGTGGGAATTTCTTCTTTATATTAGTAAGATTATTTTCAAGTGTTTCAGCTCAGGAACTTTCAAAATAGTTTAAATATCTGCACCAATGTATACTGAATATATATACAATTGCCAAAGAATCTGATTAGTGGATTCCCAGGAATATGCTAGTGAAGTATTAGATCCACATCACTCGAGAGTGGACAGCACAAATCAGATTAGCCTAAATCCCAAACAGTCTCAGACTTCTGTTATGGGTCCTTAAGCTGATACACTGTCCTTTTAACAAAAAAAGGAGGGGGGCATAAGTAAAAAATACTCTTTTTGAACATGTGAGAGGATCACAGAATCTTGCCTCCTGATTTCTTTTACTTTGGCTACAACAACACAATGAAATATAGGATGCCTACTAACTCTGTACTCCACCACAGCTCTTTAGTGTTACATCACATCTAATCACATATCATGCATAATTAGCACATAAGAAATTTGGTAATATGAAAAATGATTAAGCATTTTGTTCAAAATAGTATGACTTTAGGGCAAATAGGAAGCTACTGCCAGCCAGATGTTGTCACCAATAATCAAATAAATTAGTTACAGCTTGTTCAATAATGTTAAGCTGACTTTAAAATACTAGGAATCTCTGGTATTAGTCAAAATGCAGAAGGCCTAGCTAGAAACAATTCCTTATCAAAGCAGCCAACACATGAATCCAACTTGGAGGAACTTAGCAGACTGCTCAGTCCAAGACAGTAGAGACAAATCAGAAACACAGATTTTAACTTAAGATTTCTAGAAAAACAAAGTGGCTGAAGTAGCTATCTTTTGCTGGATTTCAGCAATCAATTGTCCTAATTCATATCATCATGTGCTCATATTCCATTTGCAACTCCTTTGAATGTGCCAGTTAATTACAGCATCTGGTTTACAGTCTGTTTGATTGCCTCTTATTCTACAACCAGCTATTTATTAGAAATAACATTGATCTCTGATCTTTGTAACCATCTGCCTTGTTGTTAACTAAGAACTGCAACTTCAGGTGTGGGAGCTGATCACTCAGCTGACTAGTACAGTCAACAAGAAACCAACAATAAGGGGAGGAAGAGGATAATAGACGATAATGGAGAACTTGTGTGTATGTTCATAGGAGTCCATGAGCATTCTGATGGATGTGGGCTTTGGCTGTTAATCTGACAACATGTGCAGCCCTCTGAGATAATAAGTTTGCTACCTATGCTGCAATGCATTTAGTTGTCACAGATCATTAGAACTGAGTTCTAACTTTCTAACAATTCTTAGCCTAAAGTTCACCAATATGGTTTTAATCACTTAAATGTTTCCTGAAAAATAAATTATAAATACATTCATATATATTCTTCCTGAAATACACTAATACTAACAAAATTAGAGCAAACTCTACAACTGTTCGATCTTAAAGAATCATTATGTTAAAATCAACTTGATAAAAATTTATCAACTCTAGTTTAACATTCCAGTAAAATGAATCAAAGCAATAAAATACAGCATCCTACAATCATGTTCCCACATTATAAAAATATCTTGTCCAAATTTCCCAGTAAAGGTTATTAGTCTCCAACAGTACAATTCTAACCGTACTCGAAAAGGCAATCCTAATTAATTCTAACAGAATTACGTTTATTTAAAAGTGAGTTCCACTGTATTCAGTGGGACTTAGTCACTTAAGTGTATATAGCATAACATCTTTTATCAGCCTTTTATATACAGTCACACAACTTATTTCAAACTGTCTTCTTATGGTTCGGGTTTTTGCCAATCACTACAGAAATTTAGGAGCATGATCTAGAAACATCATTCCAAGTTAAGGCATTTTCATTGCCAAACTAAGATACAAACTCACTCAAACTGACCTCATACTGCATACAGAATCTACTGTATGTAGGTTGTTCTTTTAAAAAACAGTGTTGTAGAAGAATTGTACCATTGTCTTCTTCCAGGATATTTTTCGGAGTTTACAGTCTAGTCAACAGCCCTGAATTTCCGAGGTGGACTGTCATACAAGTACTAATCAGGGCTGACTCTGCTTACCTTCAGAGATCAGCCAGGTGTTGTCAACTGCTGAGGCCAACCGCAAGTTCATTAACATTATTTCATACTAATAGTTGGAAATACTGTTTTTCCTCAATAAGGAATGAAATAAAGTACATATTATCCTACTAAAGCATAAAAAACAAAATAAATTATTTCAATACTTCTGGTTCCAATTAAACTGTACATAGGAGTTGAACAATCTGTGATTTAACTTTGTTTTCCTGCCATACCATTTGTAACATTACTATAAATGTAAGAAACCCACTGAGTCTTTAAATGTTTAATAACCTGAGATGTTGTCTTATTAGAGGTTTCTCTATAAAAGCTCTCCTGTATGAATATTATCAAATACGTATTTGTAGAAATATGTTTTTAGTTGTATAAGGTAATGTGGCAGGAGTGGATTAACTAGGCTGAAATTCACTGGCTCTTTTCTCATGATATGACTGACATACTCAGCTGCTATTTCCAGGAAAGTAATATACCCAGTAAAGTAGCAGCAAAATATCATGAAGAACAAAGCTTGTTTGAGAGGGAGCAGCCAACTTCCTTTATAGAAACTGGCCAGTTGTGCTTTTTTTTAACTGTTGGGGAGAAGTGGCTACATATAAATATCACAAGAATGACTAATTTTTATCTCATGCAAATGCTGCTCAACATAGTAAACCAAAATTGTTAACATGAGTTGCTGATAAACTAGTGCATCTTCATCTTCAAGTGAAACAGAATTCAATTATACATACCACAGTTTGGTGATTAACTTGAATCACTTCATCGCCAGCATGGATTTTCTTACATCGATCTGCAGGTGACTGAATTTAAAATAAAAGAGATGATAAAGAATACAATTCTTACATATTATCATCTCTCCTTTTGCAAAAACAAAAATCATTAAGCTATGAAGATTGTATTTAAATTTTCCAATAAATAAATAGTTTTGTAAATATATAAATTTATTTTGAATTTTTAAAATATGCAAACTAGGAGTTCTTGGGCATATCTCAATTTATTATCTATTATTTTCCAATCAGGATGTAAATACAGGAACAAATATAAAGATACAAATATAAAAGCAATGAGCAATTAAGAACTTCCATCATTCTGCACAGAAACTGTGACCTTCAAGACAAATGTTCAAGCCTTCAACTTTAACCCATTATCTTCCATTACTTTTTTCTCCCCTTCTTTCTAAATATGACTGGTAAACTATATTATTCTCTTAAGGATTATGGGGGACACAGGAATGATGTATATCTTTCAATGTAAACTTCATTAATAGTTGCAATAAAAAGAGCCTTTTTAATAACCCATACTTGCTTAAAATTTCAAACAGTAATATAGTTATCTAGTTTGCTAACCAATTAGGCATTTCAAGTATGAATGTTGTAAAATTTGCAGAGATTACAAGAATATTTCTAAAAAGTTTATTTCTGTAACTATATTTTAATTGAGCAATGAAATTTCATTGTCTTTTTTCTGTATGTGGATTTAAGCAATCCTAGTAAAATATTTTTTATATAAGTAATAAACCTATTCATACCAGCTCATGAGCATTAACAATATGAATCAAAAACTTTATCAATAAAATCACAACTACCAAGATACAATTTAAAACACTTTAAAACACAGCAGAATATAAATAATATAATATCAATTTTTGTTGTTGTTGTTCAGTCATTAAGTCGTGTCTGACTCTTCGTGACCCCATGAACCAT